GCATCACCGCTTCCAGTAAGTCTTCCGGTGCTTTCTAACGTAACGTTCGCTTGCGACGTACCATGTCCGGCTTCGCTCGACGCTCCACGTGCGGAAGCCCTCACGGCTTGTTCATAGTCTGGTTCTGCTGCAGTACCATGCCTGACCTCACGGGAAACTCCGTTCGGCCTCGCATCATCCGTAGTTCCTCCTGGTACCTGCGCAGGACGGCTAGTTGGGCTCATCACCTGCTGATAAGCAGCAGGGAGATCGTTGAAGGGTCCGTCAGCTGTATCCTGTTCCATGGGATTATCGAATTGAGATGAAGCGATGCGCTCCTGTTTTCTTGAGCCCAAGTTTCGGTCCGACTTCAGTTCACTCACAGCATCTGTGCACATGTGAGTCAGATGACAACAGCCACTGCGCGAACTGATCTTCTGCAAACTCCTACTCTAAACCCTAAACCTTAAAGCCTAAACCCTAAACTCCTAAGCCCCAAACTCCGAAACCCCAAACCCTAAACCCTGAAAACCCTGAGCCCCGGGGGCTCCGAGCCATACATCTCCCCAAGATCTGAGCCCCAAAGGCTCCCAGTCCAGAACAAAGCCATAGGGTTTAGGGTTTGGGGTTTAGGGTTTAGGGTTTAGGGTTTAGGGTTTAGGGTTTAGGGCTTAGGGTTTTGGTATGTCATGGTACATTATGGCAAATTTTATGGTATGTAATGCTATGTTATATAGGGTCTATTGTTGGTACAGTATAGTCCGTATCTCGTTATGCTGCAAAAGCCAAGGGCATTGTGTGATTCTTGAGGCCCCAAATGGTATTTCCGCGACACAAGCAGGACGTCGCAAAGGCTTTTTCTTCCGCCAAGATCGCGAGAATATGGAATATCCACGATAGAAGAAGGACTATTTACCAAATTATTCCTCAGCCCAAGCCTCACTCTTGTTTTTAACGGCACCTGAATTTGATTTGTGTTCGGGTTTTGTGCGCGACCGCTTTGGGTCTAAGGTTTAGAGTCTGGCCTTCAGGGTTTAGGGCTGAGGCTGGGCGCGCAACTCGAAACCCCAATATGGGGGCCTGAATTATAGAATAGGCTTTTGGGGCCCATTATATTAATGTGTAACAAAGAACCCACAAAATAGTATAGGTAATCATTAAGGACCCTTCACTAGCTTGTCCAATGCCCTTTGGCATTCATGGCAGCAGGGCGAGCCCTAAACCCACAATCTTAAGCCTGACACCCAGGCCCTAGATCCCAAACTCTATAATAGCCCTTAGAAGTAAACCAAAAAAACTCTGAAACCTACACCCTAAACCCTGAGCCTTGTAACCTACACCCTAAACCCTAGGCCCTAAACCCTAGACCCTACGCTTTGTAACCTACACGCTAAACCCTGGGCCCTAAACCCAAACCGCAAGCAGACGGTCGCCTTGTCCCTTGCGCTTCGGCTTGGTGCTCTTCTTATTTAACACAGCCCTACACCCTACACGGCCCTAAACCCTCAAACGCTCAAACGCCTAAACCCCCAAACCTGAGTCCTTGTTGGCTACAAGTTTATATTTTTGTTACAATAAAGCCCAATAAGGATTTAACAATGAAAAAAAATAATATAGCCCCAACAGGGAACCAGAAACCCGAAACTCCAAACCCCAAGCCCTTCAAGCGCCAAGCGCCCCCCAGACTCGTCCAAGTGTTCAGGGCTCAGATGACCTGGTTGGAGTCTGCATGCGCCGGAGCCCCAGAAGGGACTAAAAGGGACGTCCTTGGCTTGGAGGTTTAGGTGTATTCATACGACGAGGGAAACGAATTACAACGTTATACTATCCCCTTTACGATTGCTATCATAAGCCCGGAAAAGCCACACGAGACCCAAAGTCCTGGACCCCGAAACCATCTCTGGGTCGTGCTTCCGGCGCCCATATCAGTCTTCAGAAAGCCTCTCCACTCGTTGTTGGAGGACTTCGCGTCCTTGTTTGCAAGCTCGCAGCCTCAAAAGTAGCTGTTGGTTCCTCGGTAGGTTAATTCCAAGCGGCAGAAGACAGGCAAGGAGGTGCTGGCGTTGCTGGAGAGAAAGCGAAACAGCAACAGAAGGACTTGAGAACCCTTCCTTTGTTATCACTCTTAAGCCCCAAACTCTACAAAGGTTCCCAGACCCAGAACTTAAACCCGTAAACCGCAAACCCTCCCTAAGCAACCCTAAACTCCTAAACCCTGAACCCCTGAACCCTGAACCCCTAAACCCTAAACCCTAAATCCTAAACCCTAAACCCTAAACCCCTAAACACCCAAACCCTAAACCCTAAACCCCTAAACATTTAATTCTAAACCCAAAACCCTCAACCCTAAACCCCTAAACACCTAAACCCTAAACCCTAAACCCCTAAGCACCTAATCCTAAACCCAAAACCCTCAACCCTAAACCCCTAAACACCTAAACCCCAAACCCCTAAGCACCTAATTCTAAACCTTCAACCCTAAACCCTAAACCCCTAAACACCTAAACCCCAAAACCCCAAACCCCTAAGCACCTAAACCCTAAACACTCAATTCTAAACCCGAAACCCTAAACCCTCAACCCCTAAACACCTA